ACCAGTAGATCTTTCTCTATAGAAGACAAACAGTTTATCCTCTATAAAAGACAAAAAGGTTATCCTCTATAGAAGACCAGAAGGTCATCTTCTGTAGAAGACAAGAACGCCTTCTTTTATAGAAGACCAGTAGGTCATCTTATATAGAAGACAAAATGCTATTCATCTTTAGAAGACCAGAAGGTCTTTAGAATACCAGCAGAGAAGACCAGAATAGAAGGTATTTTCCTGAAGAATAAGTTATTTTTCTATAGAAGATCAGGAGGTCATTTTCTATAGAAAATACGATTACCTGATGTCATTCATTTGGACAATAAAACGAGGTCTTCTTTTATGGAATGTCAGAAGGTAGATACCACAACCACATGTTATATAGTAAACCTAAAATTCTGTACCAGAAAGACTTCTTCTAGCGGAGAGCCGGTAGTCTGTAGAATCGTGAGAAAAGGCTAACTGATGTTCGAATATTCCTAGAAGCACACATCAACACTAGTTTGTCTTCTATTTAGAAGACCTAAATATAATCTCATCTGTAGAGGACCAAAATGTATTAACAAATCTTCAAAAAATAAAGGACCTCAGGTATAGGTTGTCTGATTTGGAATATCATAAGGTCTTCATACTTGCAAATCCATATGACCTGCTTCCATAAAAAACCACAACGACCGATGCTACAATAGGGACATTTCAGTTTAAGGTAGCCCTGTGCATGCATAGGTACTGGTGCCCTGGTTTACATTAAGCTCGTTCTCTATGTTCTCTTTTAGTAAATCGTTTAATATGGCGGTTTCTCATTTTCTCTCCGATCATTTTCTCTCTGCACAATTCTAGTTTAAGGTCTTTTTCTATAGAAAGCCAACAGTAGTTCTTCTATAGACGCTGTAGAAGACCTAAAACTTTTCTCTATATAGAGGAACACATATAGTGTGTAAAATGGTGTGCAAAATATTGAGATTCATTCTCATCATCTTTTGATTTTCAATTGCGCTCTTCATTCAACTCAACTAGTTCAACGCGGTTCTTCTTCAGTGATTTGAGTACGCGTCCATCTCGATACGCAACATACAACAATAAATTGGCTTATAGCCATGGGCAATAGCAACAATGTTCAAGAAAGAACAACAAAAATAATATTTTTTCTCACATAAACAATGAACAGCGTGTCGGCTCTCCTGTGTGTAATTGTTGTTGTTGTGGTTGCTGATGAATGCTATAAAAAATTTGTCTAGTTTTTTTACTGCTAGTCTAATGAATATTTTGCTATAAAATATTCAAATGTATCTCTTCATTGAGAGTTTCCACGTACATACATACATATGCATGTATATTGGTATGTAGATTTCTCTATACGCGTTGTTGTACTATTAAATTCAGTTTATATGATTTGTTGTTTTTGTAAAATAGAAAAAAAATAAAACAGAGTATGAAGTCATACCGTTTCACGTAAACCCAAATAGCAGACCAACAACAACTACAACGACCCCAAACATCTCCCATTAGTCGACCATCAGCCCCATTTTTTCGATGAGAACAAAACGATCGATGGTCTGTCTCGAAATCGCAACGAATCGGTTGTGAGTTAGATTGAGTTCCGTATGGCCGGTTAGACGTACGAGAGCAACGACGGTGCGAGCATTTGAGAAACTAACAAAATATTTAAAATAATTTAAGCGAAATTAAATTTTTTTGTTTAGTAAAATTGTTTAACGAAAAATTACAAATTTTAAAAGCGACATATTTTGGTTTTATTCTCACTAACGACTTTTTGTTAAAAAAAAACAAAATTAAAAAGTAAATATTTAAAAATAAATAAAAAATTCTCAAAAAAAAAAAAAATACGAAATGGTATAATTAAAAAAATAAATAAAAAATATGCATAAATGGTATTTCAAACAAATTTATGAAAGGTGGATCATTAAAAAATTGTGAACAAAACTAAATTTCCATATAGAAATAAGTGTGTGTATGCGTTATTGTCATATATGAAATCAGCACCAAACATTGCCAAAAAAAATCTTCATCCTTAATTCGTGCATAAACAAAAAAGTGGATTCATTTAAAAAACAAAACACAAATAAAAATAAAAAACAAAACAAGAATGTGTGTATAAATCAAACAACCAAACAAATAAAGATATCTTTAGCAGCGGCGACAGCTGCTTCTACTTAAATAAATAATTTAGTTAAATTAGAAAAAACATCAAGAAAATAATTTTCTTTTACAGACATCGATAATTTAATTAAATGCAAGCGAAATTGTGAAAGTGTATCTTAAGAAAATTAATTACAATACATATTGAAATATCTAATGCAATTACAATAAACATAATAATTTAATTATAACGATTATTAAATAAAAATTTAAATGATTTGAAATAAATATAAATATGAACTTCAATTATTTTATCTAAGGCTGAAATAATTTTTTCAAATCAAATGACACTCTACTACCACCAGTAAGAACCAGAATGTTTGGAGATGAAAATTTAATTTCACATAAAATACGTTACATATTATATCAGATAATAATACATTCTATGAATTATTACTTATTTTCAAATAAGCTATAGCTAATTATACAAAAATAATTCGTTCTGTCTATACGTTCCGATAGAAATGAATCCTACCAAGTAAAAAGTTTTAAAATTAGACCGGGACGTAAAGGCTACCTATATGGATCCTAATTAAATATTTATAATCTTTGGTAGGGAGATTTTCTATAGTGAAATTTTGGAGGCATCATTTTGTAGTGGCTACATTAAAAATATTGATTATTACGTCAGTCAGTACTGCCCTAAAAAGTGGATCAATGTTGACAATTTTTAGTAGAAACCTTACCTATCCAGTGAGCAATAAAATTACAACTGATTCTGTTGGAAAACGTGCCCAGAAGCCTCAAACTATTAAAATTTAATAGATGGGTGTTATTACTCTAAAAAGTGGACCGATTTCCTAGAAGTAACATCAATCAAGGCTTTATCTAGAATATTACAAGCTCTGTTGTGATTTTAACCGAAGGACAAACACACGGACACACGAAATCGTAGCTATAAAGCTAAAGTATCACCTTAAAATATTTAATTCATTTATAAAAATATTTTTTTTTTAATTGGAGAAGTTAAATAAGACCAGCAGGTTTTCTTCTATGGAAGATCAGAAGGCTTCTTCTACAAATGATTAGAAGTTATTTTTCTATAGAAGGCCAGAAGAATTTTCTTCTTTAGAAGTTAAAAATGTTTTCTATAAAATAGCAAAAGGGCTTCTATTATCGATCAGAAGGTAGTATATCCTAAGGCTTTTCTCTGTTATAGAGAATAAGTAGGGGTTCATCTTATGTAAAGAACCAGAATATATATTTTTTGTAGAAGGCGAGAATTTTATATTTCACATAAGACCAAAAGCCCTTCATCCATATTGGACCACAAGTCCTGAGGGTCTTCTTCTAGAGTCCTTCTTTTGTAAATTTTCTTTCCTATGGAAAACCATAAGGTCGACAGCAGAACTCCATGTTCTACATAACATCTTAAATGTTAATTTTATTTTGGTATTCTGATAGTAAGGCAAGGCTGCATCATGATATTTTGAGGAATTCCCGCAGGAAACGTATACGATTTATCCACTTTTTGGGTAAAAATCGCCATTTTTGGTAATTGAAACTCATATTCATATCTTTAAATGTAATTAATATGCATTTGGCATTTGCCATACCCAGGAGTCAGTAAGTCTGGAAAAAATAATAACTTTATTATACTCAACAGAAACGTTTTCAAACTATCCAATAATCCGATGGAACCGATATATTGGGGTATATATCCATATTTACCTTTATAGTTATTACCTTTAATGACAAATCACAGCTTCTAAGGCAGCTAGGCTCTCCAAATACTTCCAAAGCCATTCAAAATACCTATAAGTAAAAAATAGATTTAATTTCAACTAGGCCGAACTTGTTTCACCATTCAGCGTAAGGCACTCGTCCAAAATACGTAAAATCTGTTGGGAGCATTATATGGAGTATACCAAAACACGAACAAACACTGCAATTTGTTTTCCAAGATATTTTCCCCCTCCCCAATTACAAATAATTAATTTGGTTGGAAAATTCGGCTAGGGCCTTCACTATACGAATACAAATAGACTTAAATGAAAATTCTCTGCGGGGATTTTTTACCCTCCAAGAACCCGAACTGCAAATTTACAGTTACTTTGTTTGAAAAATGTGTATAGTACCGACATAATACTTAAAATTGGACGGGACCTGTATATGGAGGACATGCCAAAACATGAACATTTTCCACAAGAACCCGGAATGACAAATTACAGGCACTTCGGTTTGAAAATTCAGCTAAAAATATTAAAAATGACTCAAAATGGACGGCAACGTTATATGGGAGCAAAATGTGGACGACATATCCCATTTGTAATAGCTATATATTTGGAAAATTTTAATGCTCTATCTTCCATATTGCGAGCACTTAAGTAAATTCAATAGGCAGAAGGAGGTTGTCAAATCGACATAGATTTTTATTTTTAACAGGTAGATATACTTTATGGGGTTTCAAGTGTATGAAGTCTATTCCATGACACTATAACAAAATATCAATATCTACCAAAATTTACGCAAATCTCATGATACCCAAATAAATAGTGTTGGTGGTAGTCCTGGTCAATAGAAAAATATTTCAGCCTTATTAAAATTTATTAAAACTATTTTAATTAAATATTTAAAACTTTACATTTTTAGAAAAAATGTATATAAATTGGCTGCAAAAAATATAAAATAAATTAAAATTAAATGTTCACATAAACGACGAAGTGCACCAACCAAACAACCAACAACGAACTAATAAGGAACACAGAAATACAATTGCATCATCAATCATTGGTAGAAAAGAAGAATAATTATCAACAAAACAAAGCACCTACGCACGCAGCAAATTGTAAATATTAAATAAAATAAAACAAACAAAAAATAAAATAGTCAAAAGTAACATCAACAACAACAACAATGGAACGTCATCGGACATTGGATTCGTCAATGTCATCTTTGTATTCCGGCTCGAATATATCACAGACTCCGTCGCGTCACTATCCTCCATCTTCGGCAGCACCATCACCCACACCAAGTGGCCAAGGAGGAGGTGGTGGTGGAGGCACCTCTGGTGGCAGTAATCAATTAATGCCACAAATATCACAAAATGACAGCATCGCCAGTGGAACTTCATCATCAATGCAAGGATTACGTGCAACAACAATTGGTACCGTTGTTGTACGCTGTGGTCCCATACAATTGGTCATAGCTCTGTTGCAAGTAAGTGTTGTTGTAGTTTTTTTTTGAATTTAGCATATTCTCTTTATAATATAACTGTATTATGTAGTAGGAATGGAAAACAAAGTCTTGATCAGTTATGGGTTACATCTTCTTTGAGTGGTATTTTTGTTGGGATGATTAATGACACAGGAAAATGATGTTTGTTTTCCTTGTGTGTTTGCATCCATTTGCAAAGATTTGATGTAACAGACGTTGATATACGAATGTTAGATTTCTTTATTGCCACACAGAGTTGGCATTGATATTTGGATTTTTTGTCATATATATATGATTTTCAGGAGGGAGAATTTGGGTGGGATTTATTTCGGGGACCGATGTGTCCAACAGTTTGTTTCGCTTTATATGTAAAGGATTAAATCATGTAAGGAAATATACAAATCAGTGTGTGATGGAAGATATGGCATAGTTTAGATTTCCTAGGTTTCATTTTTTAAAATCTCTATCTCTATCTCTATATATATAAAAATTACGTGTATGTTCGTGATCGATAAACTCAAAAACTACTTCACCGATTTGGACCAAATTGTATATACATGCTCTATGGGACGTGAGGAGTGTTTCTGTGTAGTTTGAAGTTCATCCGACAGATGATACAATATTTAGTTTTTTTGTGGTTTTTCACTATAATTCAAGAACTAATGCACCGATTTTGACCAAACTTTACGTATATGTCCTATGGGGCGTGCGTAGTGTTTTTGTGTTTAATTTTAAGTTCATCCGACAGATGGCGCGATATATAGCTTCTTTGTGTTTTGCCCGATTAGAGATTGGACGCTTAATCGGCGTGTGCCGACGCTAAGTATTCCGACACCGAGTCATACATAACCTGTTTTCGTAAAATACGCGTGGGAGTCAAACGAAAAAAGAATAATTTATCAAATTGAAGTAAAATTAATTTAAATCTCTATATATATATATAAAAATTACGTGTATGTTCGTGATCGATAAACTTAAAAACTACTGCACCGATTTGGACCAAATTGTATGTACATGCTCTATGGGACGTGAGGAGTGTTTCTGTGTAGTCTGAAGTTAATGATACCCTCCACCATAGATATATTGACAGGTACTAGAAATGAAAATATAGGGAACATACCAAAAAGTGGACCTATATCGACATTTCTAAAAACGGATTATGTAAACCATAATACAAATTTTAGAAAATTGTAAAGGATAATTATACCCTAATGAGGGTGTATACACTTTAACACGGTGAAAATGTGCCTCATCGAAATATTGGTTCTAGACCCCATGTTTCTTTGGACCAAATCCGTATCAGAAAATTTAGATTTCATCCGAACATTGCCCATCTTATTATTTCTTTCAAACTTAGTTCAATTTCTGGAACTTCCAATCAGGGGCTAGCTATTTTAATATAAAATAAAAAGGGGGTTATATGGGGACTACCCCAAAAAAGGGGGGGGGGCGAATATTAATAATTTTTGGTAGGGTAGATTTGTTACCATATACTACTACAAAATACCAAATTGCAGCAAATTCGGTTGATAAATGCGCTCAAGAACCTCCAAATACCGAAATTTGGGGGGTATCCGTATATGGGGGATATCCGAAAAAATGGACCTATATTCATAATTTTTTTTGGAGATATTTGGAACCTATTAAGAACCCAATGTAGCAAATTTCAGCGTATTCGGTTGAAAAACGCCCTCAAGAGCCCCAAAATACCGAAAATTGGGGGGTACCCTTATATGGGGGATATCCGAAAAAACTCACCTATATTTATAATTTTTTGTGGAGAGATTTGGTACCTATTAAGAACTCGAAATACTAAATTACAGCCAATTCGTTGGAAAAATACGATAAAAACCCCAAAATACTTAGAATTAGGAGATACCGTTATATGGGGGCTACCAGAAAAAGTGGACCTATATTTTTAATTTTTTGTGGGGACATTAAGTACCCAATAAGAACCCAATGTACCAAATTTCAGGGTATTCGGTTGAAAAATGCGCCCAAGAACCCGAAAATAGGGGGGTACTGTTATATGGGAGCTATGTCTAAACGTGGACCGATATATCCCATCTTCGAACTTGACCTGCCTGTCGACAAAAGACAACCCTATGCAAAATTTCAGCATCCTATCTCAATTACTTTAGAAGATAGCGTGATTACAACAAACGGACGGACAGACGGACGCACGGACGGACGTGGCTAGATCGTCTTAGAATTTTACCCTGATAAAGAATATATATACTTTATAGGGTCGGAAATGAATATTTCGATGAGTTACAAACGGAATGACAAAATTAATATACCCTCCATACTATGGTGGAGGGTATAAAAAAAAACGTTAATTTCGATTTCGCCGAACTTTTTATACCGTCCACCATGAGGAACCAAAAGTTTAATAACAAACATATCAAACATTTTCTGTGAGGATGTATTTGCCGTCAAATAGCTCAATATGTCGAAGAGGAACTACATCGGTGGGATATATAAAGCTGAATATTTTATGGGGCGTGAATATGAGGTATTGACAAATTTCCTAGGCTACAGGAAATCGAAATATCGAATTACCGCCATTCGATTCAAAATACGATTGGGACCTCGAAAATTCCTAAAAAGAGGCTGGAGCACTATTAAAAAAATAAATAAATAAATAACAATATAAGAACATTTTTGGGAGAATAATAACTTCTGAGAACATGTAACCTAAAATTAAAACCACTTTGTTTGGAAAAATCGGCTTGGACTTTCATCATACCTAAAACTATTTGTTTCTGTTCAATTTTAAAATTTTTCACTTCGTTCTAAAAATTTTGCATGATCTTTACGTGAGGGCTCTGTTTAAATATAGGGTCTCCTTAATCGAACTTCAGAATTACAGCCTAAAATATCGATGGACTTCTATTTCAAAACAATGAAGTATTTAAAAAAAATTCTGGGAGGATATACTTTCTGGGGGCATATATCCTAAAATTGTACCCATTTTGCTTAGAATATGCGGCTTCGGCCTTCATAATGCTTAAGGTCCCCCAATTTTGGCGTAAATTTTTTTTTGATTCAATTCGAATCTACACTAATTCAAGAATGTCCCTACAAAATTTTCAAGTGAAAATCACAAGAACTCTTGAAGATATAGCCGATTTGTTGTGTCAGCATCAATTGACGGCTGAAGGGCTTCTCAAACTTTAAACGCGATATTCTCTAAACATTGGTTTTGCGAATGGCGGGCACGATAACTCAAAAACTAATAACCGAATCGATTCCAAGTTTTTACACGTTTCTCTGTGAGTGTGTAGCTATTGTAAGAACTAGGATAAATCCAATCGGGGAAGATAAGGAAGTTTCCAAAAATAATTTTCAAAAAAAAAAAAAAAAAAAAAAAAATCATACGAGAGCTAACACCGTGGGAATTTTCGGATACCGACGTTCCAGTGAGGAGTTATCATGCCCGCCTTAACAAGCATTGGTATTGATTTAAAATACGAGAGCATTCCAAAACATGGATCTGTACTTCGACTAAGATATATGTTCCTGGCAATATCTGAATTTTTCATTGGGATGTTTGACACATTCTGGCCCGATTTCGATCCAAATATTAGAAAACTATCATAGTAAACTTATTATTACGAAAACAATTCTCGTAAATATTTTCAGTTATTTGAAGATCCAAACCGCAATCGAAAGAAATTTTCTTAAAATACAATCTCGGAACTATGTTTATAAGATCGTCACAGGTGGCGGATGGTGGATATATGCAGATGAACCCGAAATAAGCCATTATTTCACCGTGTGGGTCTTCGAAGTCGGGTTAATCCACCGAATTTTGTTTGTGGACGATGCCGTCCGAAACAAATGGTCGCTTATTTCCTGTGTCGTACACCTGAAGTCTTCCGAGAAAAACGATAAACGAACACGTTAGGTCAAATCAGCGTCTTTTTGCCGGCCAAAGCGTGAAATTAATAGGTCATCCTCCATACAGACCGATTTTGCGTCCAATGGCTACATTTTATTTCCACACAACATGCGTGGTCAACGATTTCCTACACAAGAAGGTACTATAGAAGCGCTCAAAAACCATGATTTGGACGTGTCCTAATCACAATAGTTATGAGGGCATTAAAGACTGTACAAATTGTGCTGTATTGATCTGTATTGATGATAAATAATCTCATTTGCATAATTAAGCGAGAAAAATATATAGGGGTCCTCGTATGTACCAAATATCCGAGAAGTATTGACATTGCGAAATAAAGAATGCTCTATCTTACATATATCGAGCTCTGACCCATCTTATAGCCCTTACGAGATTTATGGAGTCAGTACCTTCCCTCAATTTGTTACAAACGAAATTGTTTATCACGACGACCAAGGGACCGGCGACCAAGGATCGGGACTTTTGGATTCCCTTATTATAACCGATATATGGCTAAACGACGTTTTAAGGGAACCCCCCCCCCCCATTCTCGATTTTTTATTTTTAAGATTTTAAATGGGCTGGTAAATGAATACCAATGCATGTTAAGGTTTGTAACTTTGCACATATATATTTGAAGATTTAAAAAGAAAGAAAAATAATTTACAAAAAATGTTTGTTGTTGTTTTTTGTGATCAAAGAAAATTCCTTATTTTTGATGGCGGGCATGATAACTCCTCACTGGAACATCGGAATCCGAAAATTCCAACGGTGTTAGAAAGAGTACATGTCTGGCTCTCGTATGAACTAGGATTATTGACTTCGCTCTAAAATTAACAAAATGGCAGACCTTTGAAAAAATATTTTTGGAAAATCGCCCATTTTTTACCAAAAACCTAGGTAAAAAATAAGGAAGATTTTCACCGATTGGCTTTATCCAAGTTCATACGATAGCTATACACTCACAGAGAAACGTGTAAAAATTTGAAATCGATTGGGTTATTAGTTTTTGAGTTATCGTGCCCGCCATTCGCAAAAAAATGTTTAGAGAAAAACGTGTTTAAAGTTTGAGAAGCCCTTCAGCCGTCACTTGATGCTG